CGGAGCGCGCCACCCCCACGCCTGCGCCGCCACCTACCGCCCCGCCTGCTCCAGTCCCGTCCCACCGACCCGACAGCCCTGTCCAAAATGCCTGCATCCCAGTGCCTTCTCGATGTCCTTCCCCCTAGCAGCCATCACTAATATGCCATAGGCTTTATCAAGTTGTTTTATCTGTTTCCACAGCCTCCTCTCCACCCAGAATGCTCACTCGGAGCAGCCCAGGAGCTGCAGCCCACAGCGCTCCGCGAGCGCAGAACCTGAATAAGCCACTGGCCGAGCGCGCACGCCGGCCCCCACTTACCCGGACGCTTCGGTCAGCGCAGCGCCGGTCGAGTCAGACAAGTGCGGGCGCCCGCCACCGCTCTGTAGATTCCAACTTAGTTTCTTCAGGCCACCGGAAGCCGAGCGCGCAACCCATTAGCGAGAACGCCCTCGCAGGCTCGCCTTCTCCGCCCCCCTCCCTATCGCACAGCAAAACGACTAGAACTAGGAAGACAACGTCACTTAGATCCCACCCGGAACACTTCAGACAGTGAAAAGGAGCTCTTTCACTAATTCCACTAGGTCAGGAATCCCAGCCCGGAACTACTCTGGACAGCCTCTGGAGGTGCCTGGGACTCAGCGGTAAAATGCGAGGGACCACTTCCGGCCGGCTCCTTCTCCGCAGCGGATTCCCACCGCGCGGCGAGTGCGGGGCCGGAAGTGACGCCCAGGGAGTGTTCCCGGGATCGGTGAGTCTTGAGAGATTTAAATCACCGCGGACGAAGCTGCAGACTTCGTGGTCTGTGCAGGCTGCGGCTGTTTTGCGAGTGCTGCAGCAAAAGGAGGCCGAAGAGGCGATAGAGGCGGAAAGCTGGCTTGCCTCCTGAGAGCCTAAGACTCTAGTGGGGCCGTGCCACCTGGGCTCTTCATTATCCTGGCAAAGGCCTGAAAGTAGGTGAGGTAACTTAAGAAGGCGCAGTTTGCAGGCTGTAAAGTGGGATCTACTAATGTTACTTAATAACACACTGGGTGCTGACTCTAGATCAGGTATTGTCCCCAGCTTTACGTTTCCGTCTTGCAACGAACTATGAGCTGAGCACCTCCTTTCTTCAGAAGTGGAAACCGCAGAGGTTGAGTAATTTGTTACACAGCTGTGGCCCTCGGGGTCAGCATGGGTTTAGAGTCTTTGCTCTTATCCAGCATTACCACGCTGCCTCCCACTGTTGTTAATTCTGGCACCAAGGTACGCAGCTTTGCCGTTTTCTAACCTGTGAAATGAGGGCTGTTCTGTTATTTCCAAAGCCTCCTTCAAATGTAACAGTAGGTAACTCAAGTATAGGTGGTGGCCCACCTGAGCTTCACTTTCGCGCCGCGCAGATTTAGAAGAGCCTGGAGAGTGGAGTTCTGTCAGGACGTGGAATCTGGAGAGTGGAGATGATATAAGGACGTTTGAAGATCTTCCAGGACCCCAGGCTCCAGTGGTTAACTCAGGCGCCACATCACTTCAAATCATATATTGAATAAAAACTCACATATTAAGTATTTTAGCTGTAGAAATGTTTTAAAATTTCTTTTGAAATCACCGGGTTATGAGTATTTTAATTAAATTTACAATCGGCTATGCTTTCTTGCTAATTATTGTGCATACTATTAAATGCTTTTCTTCAAAAATTTAGGAATGGAGTTGACAATGTTATCTTTTGTATTGGATATAGCTGTTTAGAACGATTTTCAACCAGTGTGCAGCAAGAATTTTTAAAGCATGCAAAACCTGACTTTAGTCAGGGGCACTGACCTCTTGGCCCGTAGATTGTCAAATAAAAAAATGACGACAGCCAATACAACAATAGCTGTCTTGTGTGAAGGAATCAAAATTATACCTGTATTTTTTGTCATATCGGCAAAAAATATATTTTTTGGTGTGCCTCAGAATTTAAATAATTAGTGTATGTGTGCCATGAGATGAAAAAGGTTGAAAATCGCTGCTCTAGAAGGCTTACAGACTCTGGGCACTCTCCCACCTCTTGATCCTAGCCTTCCTGTAGCAGGTGTTGGTTCAGGGGCAGCAGCTCTGCCTTTTTCTGTCTTGACCCTGCCCAAGTGACGCATCTGTACACTTAACTTTTTATATCTATTATTTTTTTTTAAATAAAGTACTTTTTAATGCCAATATATTCTGCTGTGATGGGGGTAGGGGACTGTATCAGTCTGTACAGTAAGCATTTAGTGCTTGCTGGCCTATGTTGGTGATACTGAGATATATAAAAGTTCCAGTTTTCCAGTAGCATTAGCATACTGGGGAGACAAACAGGAATATAATCTGAGAATACTAGGGCAGAATGGAGCAGGGCAGGGAGGAGGGAGACACTGAAAAGGAAGATTTGTCAAGACAGGCTTTATTTTAGGAATTTGAAGGGGACTTGGAAGGATCATATTTAGAGAAATGGAGAAGGCAGGAGGGTGGCTGAAGCAGGGATGGCGAGAACAAGAGCAAGGGTGTGGTAGGCTCTGGGGAGGAGGGGGTGAACATCTGTATGTATTATGTGCCCAGCTTGAGCCAGGTGACTTACACTTATCAATCCATTTGCTCCTCCAGATGGCCTGTGAGTGTTTTGGTTTTATAGATGAAACAAGCTCAGGAAGGTTAAATAACTTACCTAAGATACCATGTGCTGGTGAGTGGCGGAGGCAGTGTATTACTGCAGCTCTTTTGCTCATGTTTTGCAAAGGTCCTGGCCTAAAGTGTACATGTGCACCATTTTTTGTGTTTTAACTTCAGATACTCAGTTTTACCTGATTTCTGTATGTTGTCATCTCACGTACGCCTGGTCCCCACAAGAGTCCGGCTTGTTCATTCCCTGATCCGCAATCCTTCCTGTTACTTCATGGATTTGAAGGCTCTCCTTTCTTCCTTGAATGACTTTGCATCCCTCTCATTTGCTGAGAGTTGGGACAATGTTGGCTTACTGGTGGAACCAAGCCCACCACACACTGTAAACACACTTTTCCTGACCAATGATTTGACTGAAGAAGTGATGGAGGAGGCACTGCAAAAGAAGGCTGATTTCATTCTCTCCTACCATCCGCCTATTTTCCGACCCATGAAGCGCATAACTTGGAAAACCTGGAAGGAGCGCCTGGTGATCCGGGCTCTGGAGAACAGAATTGCTATATACTCTCCTCACACAGCCTATGATGCTGCACCTCAGGGAGTCAACAACTGGTTGGCTAAAGGGCTTGGTGAGAAGCCTCTTGTTTCATATTTTCCCAATAAATAACTTTGAAATTTTAGAATGTCTTTTCAATAGAGTTTTAACTGCTTTAGGGATGGGACCATTATTCTGTGTTTACATAATATATTCAAAAACAATGTTGTTAAAGTCTGGCAATTGCATTTAAAATAAAAGTTTTATTTATTAATGAGTGAGGAGAGCATAGGAAATCATTATTGCTAGACCAAGCTTTGTGAGTCCTCGCTCATGTAACATAGTACCTACCACCCAGGCACTCCAGGAATGCTTGTTAAATTGAATTGAAAGCTCAGGCCTCTTCTCTGATATACTTAATCAGAGTTTTAATAAGGGAATTCAGCATATGTGTTTTAGCTTTATTTTTCGTCTTTTTAGTTTACTTGCTCATTTTGGGCTGAAGCTTTTATGAGGATATAGTCTGGATTGATGTGGTCAAGTAGGTATGAGCATTTGTACCCTGAATCATGGTTTACATAAGTAAATTTAATAAGCAGTCACAATTTTACATATCTAAAACTCATGCATCAGTCTTTCTCCAAATTTTCATGATATTTAAGAGTCTTCTGGAAAATAATTCGGAAAATAAATTTGATTTTGTATGTCTGATTAAATCCCTCATTTTGGGGTACTATTTTGGTTGTATCTGTAAGGGATATGTATATGTGTGTATAGTATATAAGCATCTGAGAATGAAAATTTACAAAAACTCCATTTTCCTACAATTTTTTTCTAGGAGTTTGCACTTCCAGGCCCATACATCCTTCCAAAGCACCCAACTACCCAACAGAGGGAATGCACAGAGTAGAATTTAATGTTAACCACACCCAAGACCTGGACAAAGTCATTTCCACAGTGAAGGAAATTTCAGATGTTTCCGTCACTTCTTTTTCTGCTAGGTACAGTATATTTTTATCTTTTTTTGGTGTGTATTTATTTGTAACGATCTTCCTTAAAAATTCTATAATTCTGGTATTTAGGTTTGAAACATTGTTTTCATAAAACAGCATGCTTCTCATGCTTTTCAAAACAGTAAAAATGTTAAGTAACACTTATTTCCTGTGTGGGAGAGATTATACTATACTATTTACATACAGTATTTCTCATCCTCTTGGTAATGGTGAAAGGTAGTTGTTTTTACTTACGGTACAGGCATACCTCGGAGCTATTATGTGGGTTTGGTTTCAGACAAGCATAATAAAGCAAGTATGGTAATAAAGTAAGTTGTAATCTTTTTGCTGGTGGAGGGTCTTGCTGTCAATTTATAAAAAATGAAACACCTCTGAAGCTCAATAAAACGAGGTATGTCTGTATATAGATAAACTCTGGTGATATACTGATAACAAAGTTTTACTTTTATCAGTTCCCAGCAAATCAGTGATTCCCAAGCCCTTTAAAAGAAAAATAAATTGCCCGGCCATAGTGGCTCAGTGTTTGAGCCTCAACATAAACCAGGAGGTTACAGTTCGATTCCTACTCACAGCATATGCCTGGGTTTCAGCCTCTATCCCCTTTGGGGAGCCTGCAAGAGGCAGCTGATTGATGATTCTCTCTCATCATTGGTGTTTCTCTCTCCCTTCCTCTCTCTTCCTCTCTTTGAAATCAAAAACATGTTTAAAAGGGGGGGAAAAGAAAAGAAAAATACATTAAGGTGCCTCTTAAAAAGTCAGTCATTTATTTATTTAGGACAGATACCAAAATGTTGCCTCATAGATTTTCTTTTAGGTTCATTTATCCTATAAAGACAAATTATACAAAGCTGGGATTTAATAATTGTTTAAAAAACAAAGATAAATATAATGACTTTTTAATAAAATAGAAACCTATATTAGGCTACACCAAAAAGTGACTACTTTGATGAGTGGTTTAAGTGTAGATAACTTATAGTAAAATCATTGCAAATGTTCTCTAACAGTATTGGAGAATTTCAAGAATCTCAAGAAAAATTATCTCTAGGAGTTTGCATAGATTCTAGTCATGAATGTCTTTTACCATACTGAAATACTGTGTAAACACTGAAATTCAAAGAAAATTATACGAGTAAAGCATGAAAAAGGCAAACAATATAAAAGCCTTCCTTGTCCCTTCTACCCAATCCCAGTATCTTCAACTTAAGTCATCTTTTTCCTTGTTTTCAGAGAAGTGGGTATCTTTCCAAACACATATGGAGACATGAAGAAATGTATTGTTTTGTTTTATTTATTGTTCTTTTAATTAAATGGTCTGCTGTATTTGCCATTTTACTAACAAGATGTCTTAGAGATCTTCCCATGTAGGTGTATATAAAATCTCTTTCTTTTTAACTGCTGAGTAATCTTTCTTATTATGGATGTACTATAGATTCTTTAAGCATTCCTCTTCCTAACTGGTGGAATTTTTTTTTCAATGGATGTACATTTAGTTTGGTCCTAGTTTTACCACATTAAAGAGAATATTTTACCATTTTGTTTGACCGTTAAAATTTGACCATTAGTCAGGACCCAGGCATTGTTTTTGCTTTTTCTTTTAAAAGCTCCACAGATTATTCCAATATTGACAACTACACTTCCAGGTTATATTTTAAGGTGCCTTTTAGTTCTAGAATTCTATATTTATAGAGTTTATGGTTAAATACACAACTTTCTTGATGCCAATCTTTGGAGTATCTCTAGGGCATTGCTTCTCAAAGGGTGATTCAAGGACCCCCTGCCTCATTGTTAATGGAGTATTTATGAAAAATGCAGATTTTGGCTTCATCCTAGATCCATGTGTAATTAGAATGGGGTTTGCCTGAGAATCTGTTCAGGAAATCTTGTATACAATGTTGTTTGAAAATTAACTTCTTGCCCGGCCGGGCGTGGCTCAGCAGTTGACTGTCGACCCTGGATCCAGGCTATCCGGATTCGATGCCCCGTCAGGGCACATGCCCGGGTTGCGGGCTCAATCAATGACTCTCTCATCATTGATGTTTCTGTCTCTCTATCCCCCTCTCCTTTCCTCTCTCTGAAATCAATAAAGATATATTGAAAAAAAAAGAGGGAAAAAAAGAAAATTAACTTCTCTGGGGCTTTAAAAAGAATTCAGTTTGCCCCAGCCCATTCACAGATGTTGTTTCACATCTGTAAAAGGGTCCAGCAGCTGTCATTTTAGGAAGCGACTCATGACCGGATTAAGAGCAGTTAGAACTGTGATTTCAAGGTGAGGTCCTTGGACTAGCATCAGCAACACCAGGAACTTGTTAGAAAAGTAAATTCTTAGACCCCACTTAGACCTAATGAATCAGAAACTAGGGGTAGGTCCCAGTAATCTGAGATTTAAATAGTCTACAAGGTGCATTTAGAATGCATTTTGATGCATTCTAAAGTTTGAGAAACACTGTTCTAGAAAATAATTTGATTTGGGATTAAATCCTAAATTCCATATAAATCTAATCTATTATAGGAGGTTGTAAACTACAGATTATTTAAAATACATTTTGTTTCTATTTATCCTAAACCAGTGAGTGACTTTTTTTCTAGGACTGATGATGAAGAACAAACACGGATCAGTCTGAATTGTAGTCAGCAGGCTTTGATGCAGGTGGTGGCTTTTCTTTCCCAGAACAGACAGCTTTATCAGAAGACTGAAATTCTGTCACTGGAGAAGGTAATAAAAATACCTTATATTGCCGAGCATTTTTGTTCGGCACAATGATGTTGAGGGAGGGCATAATATTCCCTGGAAAGTATAGTCAGAAAGGAAGACATTCCAGGAATAGAAAATTGTTGGTACTTGTCTTAGTCCATTTGGGCTGCTTTAACACATTTGGGCTGCTATAACAAAATACCACAGGCTGGGTAGCTTATACACACATTTATTTCTCTCTGTTCTGGAGGCTGGGAAGTCCAGGATCATGGCACTGGTGCATTTGGAGTGGTGTCTGGTGAGAGCCCACTTCTGGTTCATAGATATGCTTTCTCTCTGTGTCCTCACTTAGTGGAAGGGACTAGGGATCTCTCTGGAGTCTCTTAAAATGCACTAATTCCATTTGTGTGGGTTCCACCCTCATAACTTAAGCACCTCTCAGTGGCTCCACCAATACATTTTGGGTTAGGTTTTCAACATGCATTTGGGGGGCGGGGGCAGAAACATTCAGATCATAGCTGTACTGTTTAGTTACAGGGTCACAGGTTTGGTCTTTTATTTTATACCCTCTGCCTGGACCATTTTATTCATGCCTTTAACTTGACAGCCATTTGTATGATGATTCCTACATCTTTACCTTTTGGCTCAGAATGCTTTCTTAAGTTGAACAATGAAAAGGAAAAAACACACACCCATATTTCCAACTAGTTTCTAGACATTTTCCATTTATGGATCTCACAAGTATTTCAAATACAATAAATATATACAAATATTATTCCCATGCCACCCCTTTAAGTACTACAATTCTTGTTTCTATTTCGTTGGTGTCACCATCATCTACCTTATTTTCCAAGTTTCCACAACTCTCCCTGCTTCTGTAAATCCAAGCCCTGCTGATTCTGTCCCCAAATCTATAAAATGTTTCTCCTCTCTGTTTACTTTGCCATCACTGTGGTTGAAACTCTCATCTTCCCTCATAACAAAATACCACAGGCTGGATACTTATATACACATTTATTCCTCCCTGTTCTGGAGGCTGGGAAGTCTAAGATCACGGCACTGGCGCATTTGGAGTGTCTGGTGAGAGCCCGCTCCTAAGTGGGCACCTACAGGAGACAGTCCAGGCATAGTGTGCAAAGCCTTTCATGACTGGCCATGGCCGTCTCCAGTTTCTTGTCAGTCCCTATCCCCTGCTCTGCACACCAGCGACACTGTCCACTTTTGGATCCGCCCTCAGTGTGCGCTCTCATACCTTGACACCTTTGTGCATGCTGTTTAGAATGCCTTTCCACCTCTCACCCCATCCCTCTCCTTCCACAATGAACTTGATATCACTTCTGTTTTAACTCCTTTCTGGCCTGTCCTTTGAGACTCAAGTCCTTGTAAGACCTTTGATTCTACTTTCTCTAAGACCCATCTCATTTATTTTGTCATTCCTTTGTGCTCTCATTAAAAAGTAGTACCTACCTTGTATTTAAACACTTTTATTGTGATTGTTTATTTAAACATCTGCCTTTCCAAGAGACTGAGAGCTCCTCTAAGTCAGAGAATATTTTTGTCAGATTTGTATCCCCTAGATATAAACTTTAGCCTTGAGCTGGCTGTAGTGAGCCCACAGTATGCATGTTATATTGATCTCAGCGTTTGCTAATAGGTTTTCTAGGACTAATGATGGACAGTTTTTCTAACTTCTGTTTCTCTTCAGCCTCTGCTTCTGCACACTGGAATGGGACGGTTGTGCACCCTGGATGACTCTGTCTCCTTGGCAACCATGATTGAGCGAATCAAAAGGCACCTGAAGCTATCTCATGTTCGCCTTGCTCTTGGGGTAGGGAGGACCTTAGGTAAATATGTCTCTTTTATTTGTCCAGTATACATACTGTTAACATTGGGCAAAAGTTGAAACTCTTGATTGTATTAAGTGAAAGAAAACCTGCTAGCAGTCATGGGAGATGACTGACTGGTTTACCCTATCGATCAGGGTGGTCTAGGTTGTGCTATAGTAAACATCTCATTGGCTTCAATAAGATTTATTTCTCCAGTCTGTTCATCTTAAATTGGCAGGGGAAGTCTGTCCATTGTAGGCTGGTTGCTGTTGCAGAGGGAAGGTTTTGGAGAGTCTTAAACCATCAGTTAAACGTTCTAGCCTAGAAATGAACTTCTGTTTAACTCATTGTCCAGGGTTAGTCACGTTGCCCAATCTAACCCAAGTGCCATCCTGCCACGTGCCAGGAAGAGGGCTGGAAATTATGACTTCTCCAATGTGACTGTTGGCATTTTACAATATGGTGATATTTTATAGTGAGGGGCCACTAAGTGAAGGGATCCACTGTTGTTTCTGAGTCTTATAGTCACTGTCTTTTCTTTTGGCTTTTCCCAGTACTTTTGGGAACAAAAGGAACAAACCGAACATTTGTTGGATCCCTGTAGTTTGCCTAGCACTGTACTGAGTGTGTCAAGTATGTGAGTTCCCACTGCAAAGGAGCCCAGAGGTTGAGTGTAGATTCTGAATGTCTTGGGTTCAAATTTATCTGTCCTATTTGCTGCATGACTTTAACAAGTTATTTAACCCCTTGTGTCTTGGTAGCCACATCTGTAAAAACTGTAGTAATAATAAAACCTAACTCATAGATGTATAATGGATTACATGTGACAGGGCACAGTGACTGGGACACATTAAGTGCCATAAATGCTATTAGCTCTGTGGCAGGTATTAGTGTTCCCATTGCATCAGTAAAACACTGAGGTTCAGAGAGATACTTATCTTATCCAGAAGTCCACAGTTGGATCAAATAACTCATGGGAGTTAATTTCCAAAGAAAATAGGTCGCAGAAGTGGGATTTGACTTCGGTTCCAACTCCAAAGCCCCTCTTTTGAAATAAGCAGTTACGTGACCACTAATGAAGCTTCCATTCTAGAAACCTAAGTTATCAATACTTGTTGGATTTTGGCTTGAAAGTTTCTGTTATTTCACTATTCAGAGGATGCTCTTTTGAAGTAAATATGGTATTTAAAAATTTGTTAAATCCATTTGTAGCATTCCACCTAGCCCTTTTAGTTCCTCTGCTTCCACACCTGAGAACAGAGATAGTGCTGCCTACCTCTCCCTGTTGCCTGGGGACCCAGGCGAGGCTCCTTTACCTAGCGTTGCAGTATAGCCTAGAGCTGTACTATTAGCATTATTTAGTGGTGCCTCATATGGCCTTGTGCAGCCATGTATGCGTAAAGGAATAGTAACCCTGCAATACCAAAGAATAATCTGTTTGCCTCTATGAAGACGTGTTTTGTTATTTTTTAAAATTCAGTAAGCAAAATTGATACACTGGTGATGAGACAGACCAGGAGTGAAATCTGCATTCCATTTAGGGTTCTTGGTACAAACTGTAATATTAAAATGAAGGGGAATTATAAAGTATTAGTATCTTGTTTCTTTTATCTTGCAGAGTCCCAAGTCAAAGTTGTGGCTCTGTGCGCGGGTTCTGGGAGCAGTGTTCTGCAGGGGGCAGAGGCCGACCTTTACCTCACAGGTAGGACAGCCTTTGGATTTCTTTTCTACCCTTTTGTTTTTGTGTATATCCTTTCCTAACCTTGGTTTATTTTTTAGAAGTTAAAAAATAGCAAATTTTAGGGCAGTATCTGACATATACATGGAACTAATAAATGTTTTTTAAACCCAAACTAATTAGGGACCACACGAAAATTGGGAACATACCATATTCTTTGTGGAGGGAAAAAAACCATTTAATAGTTTATTATTAGATTATTTTAAAATACTGATGTTTAGCATTTATTTAACCTATCTTCTTCCTAAACGTGCTTTCTCTCCGATTCCATGTCACTTTCTACATGTTGCCTTAGCTAAAAGATGGTTCCTCTTACTCAGCCCTAAATTCAACCATCAGTTCTTATCAGTTCTAGCTCCAAAATCTTTCTAGGACCTTTTCCTTTCTATCTATCTAGACATCATCTCCTACCCAAAGAACATCACCAAGCCTCTAATCTTTTATTATTTTTTTAATCCTCACCCAAGGATATGTTTTTATTGATTTTAGTGAGAGAGGAGGGGGTGGGGACAGACAGAGAAACAGAGAGAGAAACATTGATCGGTTGCCTCCCGTAAGCGCCCCAACCGGAGATTGGATTTGTATGTCCCCTGACTGGGAATGCAACCCACCACCTTTTGGTGTACAGGACAACTGAACCACCTGGCCAGGGCAAGCCTCTAATCTTAATTATCCATGCACTCCCCCAAATTTTACTCAAAAATACAAATTTAATGGTGTATAATATCCTGGCTAAAAAACCTTCAGTAATTTCCATTGTCCTGGTGAAGCCTGAACAATGTTTCATTCCCTTTATTTTCTTTCTTTCTTTTAAAAAAAAAGATGTTGAGAGAGAGGGAGAGGGAAAGAGAAATAGAAACATGGATCAGCTGCCTCCTGCATGCCCCCTACTGGGAATCAAGCCCACAGTCTAGGCATGTGCCCTGACTGGGAATTGAACCTGCAACCTTCTGGTGCTTGGGACGATGCTCAGCCAACTGAGCCACACGGGCTGGGCTCATTCTCTCTCACGTAGCCTTTACTTAAGCTGTTTTCTCTCACTGGAGTGCCTTTTTCTTGCCCCTTTCTTTGTACTTCTAGAGATAAGCTCAAAAGATACCTCCTCTGAGCAGCTTTTTCTGCCACTCTCCGGCTCCTTCCTTGATGGTCATGCCTCCTGTCCGGTCCCTGTCGCTTTGTCCTTAACTTCCTCTTTGCATTTCTATTGGATAGTAATTGTTTGGCTCCCAGGCTTTATGCTGTTCTTTCAGATAATAACTGATAGGTAACATTGCTCATCGCTCCTCCAAAGGATTTGGAGGCACCTTGTACATTTGCTGCTACCAGCTGCATTTCCACCTTTAATCCTTAGTGTTAGGAGTTAAAGGTTACTTTTCCCACTTCTAGGATCAAGACTTTAGAGTTTTAACTCTCTGGCCATTCCCTTGGCTACTTCTGTGCCTCTTCATTACTTTGCCTCCTCCTGCCTCCCACACTCATGCCTTTTTATCTAGCACAGCCTCTTACGAAGACTAATACACCTGAAACATTGTCACATCCGGAAGTATAGAGGTGCAGCATCCCAGCAAGCCTGATGTAATTGCTCTGAACCAATTGAAAATATACATAACCATCGTCTGCTTTCTTTTCTATCCTTCTGAAGATGTAAGATTTTTATAAACCCTCAATCTTGTAGCAGATTGAGATAAACTTTTAATGTGTAGGCAATTTGACAGCATTTGTAACATTTTGCTTTGAAGGAAATTCAGACCTATAGAACAGTTGCAAGAAGAGTACAATGAACTTCTGTATGCCCTTCACCTAGATTGCTAATGGGTATATTTTGCCACTTTTGTACATTCTTTCTCTCTCAGTGTACATATTACATACGTGTGTATATTTTTGTGTGTGTATAAATATATTTATATATTTGTTTCCACAAAAGACATTTTGTAATCTGTTGTAGACATGATGACCTTTTACCCCTAAATATATCAGCATATATCTCCTAAGAGCAAGAACATTCTCTTATATTACCGTGGAATACTGTTCAAATTCTGGAACTTAATATTGTTAAAATACTTATTTAATATAGTCTGTATTCAAAAAAAAATTTTTTTTTAAATATATCTTTATTGATTTCAGAGAGAGGAAGGGAGAGAGAGAAAGAAACACCAATGATGAGAGAGTCATTGGCTGCAGCCCGCAACCTGGGCATGTGCCCCGACCGGGAATCGAACCCCCCAATCTCCTGGATCCTAGGTTGATGCTCAACTGCTGAGCCACGCCTGGCTGGGCTGTATTCAGATTTTGCTAGCTGATCAAAATGTGTAGTATTTTTCTGGTTGATACCCAATCCAGGGTCACATTCTGCATCTGGAATGGTTCCTCAGCATTGTCTTTAGAGCATTGATGTTTTGAAGAATGTAGGCCATTTGCTTTGGTATATATTTCTTAATTTGGGATGTCTGATTGTTTCCTCATAAATAATTACTATTTTAAAACTGAGTGTGTTTTTTAATTCTAAAGCAATATGTGCATCAGATAAATTCACACAGTTCACACAGTTCCAAAATGTTGAAATGTCCTTCCTATCTGTTTACTTGGGGAAAAAGAACATATCTTCTTACCTGGCCGACTTTAGATGTCTATGATCTGTGAAGCGTCACTTTGGATCTAACTTCAGGGATGAGAAGCATCTGTCAGAAGACCAAATATAGGCCTCTGCTGCCATTTATCACCCTTCCTTTGAGCTTGGCATGAAATTAGGTTGTTAAGGGAAATATATCCCACGAAGACCAGCAGATGGGGAGCTTGCTCCTAGCAAATACTGTATAAATGCTCTCATTTGCTTTTTCTCTCCCACAGCTGCCATCCTGTGCCAGGCTTTTCTTTCCTTTGCTTTTGGCTACTATTGTAGGGCCTTCATGGATTTCCCCATTTCTGTGCCTTCTCCAGCCAGTGCATTTATAACCTGGGCAGCCAGACTTGGCCGTTCTTAAAGCATGGGTTCTTTTTTTTTTTTTTTTTTAATGTTTTTATTGATTTTAGAGAGGAAAGAAGGATATAGACAAACATCGATTGGCCTCCCACTGGGGATCAAGCCTGCAACCCAGGCGTGTGCCCTGACTGGGAATCAAACCAGTGACCTCTTGGTTCATAGGGCGATACTCAACCACGGAGCCACACTGGCCAGGCAAGCATGGCCTCTAACTGGGCTACCTTAGCGTCTTTTTCTCCTCTTACTTTACCTTCACTATTATAGATTAAGATGTTTTAATAGGTGCTTGAATAAAAAAATATTTCTTATAATGAAATCACACTTAGGGGGTGGAAATGTGGGCAATAGAAAATTTGGGGGGGAACCCTTTTTTTCTTTATTTTTATGCCTTTATATTTCTACATATATTTCAAAATTATGCTTTTTGTGAACAAGCCAAATTGTGCACAGAATCTTTCTGCTCTTAAATTAGAAGTTGTCAAGTTCACAAATGGTGCTCTTAGAAATTCAGAACATTTGAGTTTTCCCGAAATCTTTTCACAAAAGATGAGACACTCTCCCCACAGCAACAGAATTTCTAGGAATTTTGCTTAAGTCAAAGGAAAAGACCATTTTTTAGTTTAGAAATAACATGAAGATCGTTTCACCCTTATGAATGAGACTAGGGTTGCTGCTGAAATTTTTGGTGCTCACAAAGCACAAAGCAGTCTTCTGAAAAGTATACCTAGGGTTTTCCTGAAGCATTTGTTATTTAATCCTTACATAAGAGATTTTCTGAAAGCCCCATTTTACTTAGCAGGTCTTTAATTTTATTGTGGAAACAATTTGAGTGGATGTTCTTGCAGGTCTGGTTCTCACAGTATTAGATGCTGTTTGGATATGCGAGTTTGGCTACTTGTCTTGGGTCTGCCGAGGAGAAAGAATTTAGAATTCTCAGGATGGTCTCTGTCTCTTTAAACTGGAGGGCATGTAAGAAACCTGTACGTAACTTTCTAGATTTATATGTGAAGTTCTGCTGTATTACGTTTGCTTCATACAACATGCAAACTTCGTTTTTCTGTTGTTATGGTTCAGTATTGCAGACTCTGTCTAATTTTTTAAGTATTTGCTCTCTCCTTTTCTGGCAGGTGAGATGTCCCATCATGATATTTTAGACGCTGCTTCCCAAGGAATAAATGTCATCCTCTGTGAACATAGCAACACTGAACGAGGCTTTCTTTCTGATCTTCGAGATATGCTGAATGCTCACTTGGAGAATAAGATTAATATTATCCTGTCAGAAACAGACAGGGACCCTCTTCAGGTGGTATAACGCACATGGGAATAGAATGACAGTCTGCTTTGCAAGTCATTTCGCTCCTAACTCAAATGCACATGATAAGTGGAGTTTGTATCCTTCAGGAAGAATGTTTGGAATGTACATTGTCATTTCTGGTTTGTTAATCTGCTTTACCAAATGTTCTGTAGTTTTTAGGGTAAAAAATGTAACTATTATTAAAGACCAAATATTCAGCCCTGGCCAGGTAGCTCAGTTGGTTAGAGCGTTGTCCTGATATGCCAAGGTTGAGGGTTTGCTCTCTGGTCAGGGCACATACAAGAAGCAACCAATGAATGCATAAATAAGTGGAACAACAAATCGATGTTTCTCTCTCTGCACCCCAAAACCAATTAAAAAAAACACAAATATTCATTATAAAGAACAAATTTAACATCCTTGGTAAGTAGTTCAGGTAATCCTCTCCTTAGCTTAATGGATGGAATGTGTCATTCTAGATCTCTCTGCCCATGGTTAATTTTTAAATATACTTTAAAAACTTGGGATTTGAACACTTATTTCTAGGTAGTATTCTCTAGGAGGTGATAGCTCTATGTATTCCTGTTTCTAGATTACTAATGTCCCCCCTAAATTTCAGAATCTGGATGAAATTTATCAGCATGAGTTTTGTTTTCTTAAATATACATGGTAATTATATAACTTGTTTTATTATATTATTTTTTAGGTAATGTACCTATAATTTTATTAGTAATATGTAAAGATGATTAGCTTTCAAATAATACTAGTGATTATACAATATTAATTTTGTGCCAGGCACTCTACTAGGTGCTTTATAAACACTTTCAATCCCTTATAAACAAGCATACAAGTATTGTTCCCATTTTAACAGACTAGCACACTGAAACAGTCATCTCACCTCCTAGAATGTAGGAAAACACTTTCTGAACAGTGCTGCTGGCTCCACATTTCAATTAGCTGAGGGGAAAAGTGTAGATTTCTATAAGTTTTCTATTTTCCTTTTTTTTGGCAGTACCTATTGTTCATTTACTGTGGGTAGATTTCACATTACAAACCTCTTAACTATGGGAAGAGATTCAAGGTTTTAGAATGTCTTTGGTGTATATTTCCTGGGCAGAGGGGCAGAATTCCCCTGCTGCCCATCAAATGACATGCACTTGCAGCTGCAAGGAACAGTGCAGGGCTATTCCTCTACTCCCAAATTAAATACTTATAAAACAGAGTTAAAATATGTATATATAAACACACACACATACACATAACATATACAAGATAATCCCCTGGTACCCATATATATATGCCCTCCAAACTCTTTACTACCC